CCCCCAGTCTGTCTTGCTGTCTGATTTTCCCATTTGACCCCCAGTCTGTCGCTCTGTCTGATTTTCCCATTTGACCCCCAGTCTGTCGCTCTGTCTGATAAACCCGTTTGACCCCCAGTCTTGTCTTGCTGTCTGATTTTCCCATTTGACCCCCAGTCTGTCTTGATGTCTGATTTTCACAATTGACCCCCAGTCTGTCTTGATGTCTGATTTTCACAATTGACCCCCAGTCTGTCTTGATGTCTGATTTTCTCATTTGACCCCCAGTCTGTCTTGATGTCTGATTTTCCCATTTGACCCCCAGTCTGTCTTGATGTCTGATTTTCCCATTTGACCCCCAGTCTGTCTTGCTGTCTGATTTTCCCATTTGACCCCCAGTCTGTCTTGATGTCTGATTTTCTCATTTGACCCCCAGTCTGTCTTGATGTCTGATTTTCCCATTTGACCCCCAGTCTGTCTTGATGTCTGATTTTCCCATTTGACCCCCAGTCTGTCGCTCTGTCTGATTTTCACAATTGACCCCCAGTCTGTCTTGCTGTCTGTCACCAGAGCATTCACTATGAACTTCAAAATGTTGTTGGTAGTCCATTTCAATTATGAGTCAAATAATGCAGTATGTGATTGTATTCCTTGTGTAGAAAAAGTGAATCAATATTTATAAATACTAGATCTCTGTCTACCACTCACTATAACAACTCTTTGGGTTTTATGTAATAAATGATTTTACCTTTTATCAGCTCCGCAGTCGACTTTGTCAAGTGGAGCTTATTATAGATTGATTGTCATTCACTGTCCATGTCAACTTTTTACTTTTTTCGACTTAATACTTAAATGATATCTTCAATTCTCTAATTTTGATGAATATTTTTTGTAATTTTTGGTAAAATAGTGATATTTTTGACTTATAATTAAAAGCTGCAATTCTGATTGATTTGATATTATACATATAGATTTGTTCATTTTGTAATGGTATCGTCAATTCTCTAATTGAAGTGCATTGCTAACAGCAGAGCTATCTCAGCCTGCTTGTTTTAGTTTATTTCTATATAATACAAAAATACATCAATAAAGGCGATTCAGATTTTACGGAGCTCATAGGAACCCAGACAATTTTATGTTTCTACCATTTATACAGCACTATAGACACAAATAAAAAGATGGAAATATAATGCATACATTGTAATAATTTAATTAAGTAAAATACAAAATATTGTAATAATAAAGAATGAACTAAGATTGCATGTTTAGATTCTTAATTGAGGTTGTATGGCCCCCAGATGTTTAATAATCCAATATTGCTAAATTTTTTCTGATAGGTTTATGAGCTGACTAGTTCAAGTACATTTTTTGGTCTTGAAGAATTTATGACTGTTATGTGTTTAGATGAGAACATGGTGAATCAAGACAACATATTAAAACAAGCGTATGATAACCTTGATTTCTCAAAACTACAGGATGATATAACACACTTTGTGGTAAGTTTGAGTTTTGTCACTTCAAGGCATTTGTAGTTAAATTATTTATACCATGCAGATATGT